ATTTGCATATCTGTCATTTTGGATATGTTGCCATTTTCTCAAACTGGAAAGATTGGCATTTTTTCTCTAATAACATTGCCATTTGTCAACCTTGTAACACTGCGATTTGTCAAAATATGAAGCTAAAAATCACTAACACTATCTAATTTTTGCAACTAAAATCACTAGCACTGTTCATATGGACACCACTAGCAGGCATGAGTTTATGGACGCATATGCAAATGTACCATTGATTACATACAACAAGTCATCAACCCACAACGACAACGAGGATACACGTTGGATTATAGATCATTTCCAACAAAACATTCTAGTAAAGTTTTTCTCACACAACAAATAACAAAGCGATGAAATGAGCTTCAGCTTAACCACTCGTCGGTGTTGAAAACGCTTGCTTTGAACCAGAAGTGATTCTCTAGGAAGGGCCAGCTACTGTCAATCTCGAGACCAACGCAGGACTGATCATCAAGGCTGAAGCGGCCTATGTCAGGACCCATATTGGGATGGTAGGGAAGCATAGTAATGTCCAAGGTATAGATATAGTTGCTTCTCATAAATGGTAGTAATGTTGTGTCAACAGCAGCTGGATCGCCTTCCACTATCATTGGATAGTTTTGTCCAAGGAAGAGCGAGTTTCCTCCAAGACTTTCAATACTGAACCAGGGAGAAGGTGTTGGTGCTAGTACACTAGTATCCATCCCGAATACCCTACAACGGATGTTGGAATAGGTCCAAAGAATGCGTCCATATGAGACAACACCTGCTTCCTTAGTAACATTAGCAGTGCCCCGTATACAGACAAGAAGAGGTGATCCATCGGAGTAAGTTGCCAGGCACCACTGAGTATATGGGTCCTGCTCGTCCTCATGCTCGTGAGTAAAATTTTCAAGTATAGGTGGTGGAATGTTCATAGGACCTTGGAAACACAAGAAGGTTAATTAGTAAAGGGAAACTAGTTAACCCACATGCATGTGGATGAAACAATTATAATTACGGTGGAAGACAAACGTACCAAAATCATGAGGATTCCATGCAAAAACAGTGCCACGAGTGGTGGCAGCAAACACAAGACCCTCATATTGAATTGCATCACAATACTTATCCGTGTATAGAAACTGATTTTTGAGCAATATCCATCGAGTCGAACCATGAAGGACGGCAACAAGCTTGTCGAAGATAGCGACAATATAAGCATTCCTATAACCCCAAGAGCAATTGGGAACTCAACAAATTGCTATCTTCCATAGACGACAGTCAGCATGGTCGTATTTGAACTCATGTAGAATACCGGTGTACTCAACCTTTGGGCAGTCGTCTGAGATTTTTCGAAGTGGAACCCGGTGACGAGTGTACACATTCACAAGTTCCCACTCGCAATTGTCCCAATATAAACAACCCAATCTCCATTTGCGCCTGCCAAGCCTTGCCCTCAAGCGATGGCATCTTAACATCATATGTATCATTATCAAGCGACATCAACTTACACAAAGCGAGGCTTCCCTCGTCCCTGCACCAGTCAGCAGGGTCACGGCGAAGAAGATAGGGGAGATCAAACCACTCCTGAACCCTTGGGTTCCTTGTAATGATGTTATTAGTTGAGTCGATAATGGTCTTGAACGAACCTGCCATGCTAGCCGAGGCGATGACGTTGCACCGATCAATGAGTTCCTCCACCGCGTCATCATTCATATCGGGGCAAGAATAACGGGGTCGTTTCCGGCTTGTTCCCTCCATGGAGAAGACGATCAAACAATGACAAAAGGAAGGGTGAAAGCAAATGGAGGAGGGAGAAAGAGCTAGCGTGCGACAGCAGTTCCAAATCGAGAGGGAAAGGCGAAGAGTCGGTGGACGGTTGCCACGGTACACGAAGAGGCGCCTGGGGAGCGAACGGTTGCCACAGAGGTCACACACTGACGACAACAGCCAAGTGAACCGCATGCAATCCCATCGCACAACACACACCGTTTCTGTTCTCTTGTGTCAACGCAAATAGTTCATCCGAGTGAACCACATGCCGTATATTGCACACACCTTGATCTGACTGACCGTTTTTTTGTGTTGTTTAATCACAAATAGTTCATCCGAGTGAATCGTATACTGTATATCGCACACAGCTTCATCTGGTTGTCCGTTTCTTTTGTGTTGCCTAATCACAAACAGTTCATTCGAGTGAATCGTATGTTGTCTATCGCACACGCCTTCATTTGACTGCCCGTTTCTTTTGTTCCTCTTCATCGCAAATAGTTAATTGAACTGAACTGTATGCCCTTCATCGCACACGCAACTAAAATCCGAACCGTGTTTGATGCATCCTCCATCGCAAACGTTTTCACCTTTTTTGACGGTTTTCATACACCATCATTTGCGATTATTGCATCGCACACAGTTTTTTGAAGGGTCTCTGATCGTAGTGTTGCGTTAGCAGCATCCTGCAGTAGTGAATATGTATAAGTCATGAAGAAAGCAATAGCAATAAAACTTAACGATCATTATGCTAAGCTAATGGATGGGTCTTGTCCATCACATCATTCTTCTAATGATGTGATCACATTCATCAAATGACAACACATGTCTATGATCAGGAAACTTAACCATCTTTGATTAACGAGCTAGTCAAGTAGATGCATATCAGGGACACTTTTTGTCTATGTATTCACACATGTATCAAGTTTCCGGTTAATATAATTCTAGCATGAATAATAAACATTTATCATGATATAAGGAAATATAAATAACAACTTTATTATTGCCTCTAGGGCATATTTCCTTCATATACCTAGTTCAATCTCGTTGGGGTTTGTAACCCCGCCGTCATTGAGCCCAAGATGAGGAGGTCTGGCACCGACGGCGGAGCCGGAGCGCGCGGCAGCGGTGCTGCATTGGCCCGTGGCAGCGACATCATGCAGAAAGGGTACGGCGTCGGGAGAACCGCGACGAGATCACGACCGAAAGAGGGGAGGGCCAACAATCCACCGCTCCTGGATGAGGTCGCTACCGGCAATGATGGGAGTGGGGGGGGGGCACGGCGCGACGATGGCTCTGCCATCGGATACACTGAAGGGACGGTGAGGGAAGATAGAGCGAGTATGTGTGATCTGTCGTGAGAGGTGACTGGAGAGAGCGTGTGGAGTTATGAGACGCCCCGTCGTCTCGCACGCTTCCCCGCGCGTGGCTCATGAAAAACGGCCGATTCGGCCGTTCCTCTGGATGCAGGCCTAGAACTGCTTTGAGGTTCGTGCGGGGCAGGAAGGACAGGAGGCCAAGCAAACCGATTTCATCCCGCGCAGGCCTGGCTGGGTGGAAAACGGCCTATGAGACGCATCCTAAACTACTAGTCATCTCTGTACAGCCTACTATCACACAATTTTGGTTGCCCCTCGGATGGGGCAAAAGTGACAAATTCCACTGGACAAGGGGCAGCGGAGCAAGATGTTCATGATGGGTAAGGGCTCTTTCGTACCCCCATGAGGTATGGGCAGTTGGCAACGGTCTGTACTCTACTCCCCTATCGATTCAGTCGCCCGCGCGATCGAAGCGAAAACAGAATAAAGCGAGACCACAGGCCGTTTTGATGGTCTGAGTCCGGGGGGAAGCGCATCGAATCCTTTCGTCTCCGTGTGTGCGCCTTTTCCTCAAACGACATACTAGGCAGCAAACATCGTTGTCAGGCATGCATGCAACGCAATACAGGCCGCGATGCGACACTGCCTGCTTCTTGCTGCATCGGCCAAAGAAAGCAAGAAACTTGTGCTGCTCCCTTTTTTTTCTCCTTCAATCAACATTGGACCTGTCGTTTTTCTCTACGTGACGATCTGAGCTGGTTCCTTTTTCTACGCGCCCTGATCTACCAACCAACCAGCTTTGCGTTGGTGGAAACCGGGGTCAGCACTGGCCGAACCGATCAACCCACTCCACTCCAGTCCTTCCCAGTCCCTGATCGCGCCGCCCCCGGTCGCTTCTCTGCTCCTGTTTCCTCCACTAGAAATACATCTCAAACAAACTGATAATGCATGGGATCGATGAGGTGTACGTCGCTCTCAGTCCTCGCTCGCGGCACTTTGAGCCCGTATCATTGGCACGAGGAGACCATGTGGACTCCTTTGCATTTGCCGCTGAATTAACTAGCCTAGGTTTTGTCTCCATCGCAGTAGGATACAAAGGCGACGGACCGATCTTTGCAGTGCGTGCACTAGCTAGGCCTCTAACCTAGTCGGAATCCACAATGGCGAGCGAGCACCGTGAATCTTTTATCAGGCGCTTTTGCGCCGGCCAGGATTTGATCCGGAAAATCGATCGGAACCTTCGCTGCAGTTGCGCACGAAAGCTGCACTGCTGAGCTGCTACTGCGATGATACAATTCTGGAATGGGACCTGAGATACTTGACCACGAGACAAGGACAAAGCGATGATACAAATGCCGCTTCTGTCCAAGTCACACCACACGGTGGATCATACCTAGACGAGACCCAATAGGGCGGAGTGGTTCATAGCAGAAAGCTCCATTTGGAGAGAGGGACAGAAAGTTGAGGTAGAGAGGTGACCAAGACGACCAAACCATCCGACCAAGGAAACTCTGAAGATTGATGGAGACTTACGAGTGGCTCTGCGGCTCTGCTCTCTTGAAACGACGACTGCTACCAGTCTTGCCTCCCTCTGGACGGGAGCAGCAGAGCGGGGAGAGCTCGACCTGGTGAAGTGCTGCCTGGTGCAACTCTACAAATTCAAGAAGCCTCGCCATACCGAATCACCGTCAGTTTTCCGCAAATGGCGAGAGACCGAAAGGGATTGTTTTATTACAGAAAGTAGTTTAGAATTGTCATCGAAAACATCCTTCGGATACTTCAGGCTGCAATGCGATGCAGCGTCGTGTCATGTGAATAGGGCGTGGAAGAGCATCCACACATTTGGCAAAACCTCCAGGTTTTGGAAGGGGAAATTGTCAGGTTTCCAACTTTCCACCCCATTTTCGTAACAGGAGGCGGCAAGGATCGTTCCATCTGCTACATGTTTGCTACCCCGACTATGTACGCGTTCCAAGCGTCCGCCTGGTTGAACCGCTGGAGCTCCTCGTACTTCACGTCGCGGTCGGCAGTGTACTCCTTGGCGTTTCCGCTTGATTTGGTGTCTGGCATCTCCCTGATCCATACGTGGATGGACTTGAATCCAGCTTCCTCCAGGCAGTCCTTGATTTCTGGTATCGACCACCTGCAAAAGAGCGACTTGAATTACTATTTCGAAGATACTATCCGTCGGTCTGTAAGAACCATGATGCCATGCCATTCACTTGCATATTTTTCAGAAGCCGATATCGTATGGCTAGTTGCCAGCGTTGCACAAGTGCGCCACTGCACATAACTGAAAAATGCCCCAAGGTTCATACATCTATGAAAAGTACAAGGATACGGCATAGGAAAGTGCGTATTGATAACACATAAACAACCGCAGCAACTCTGGCACCAATCGTATCAGAGACACCGCGAGCTCATGTAATGACATTGCCTTTGGTTTCCCTGGACTACAAATACCAACCTTATTCCGCCTTGAAGCAGGTTTCTGTTTTGTGAGTAGAGGCATGATAACAACCGCAGAGGCATTATCACCATAGTATGACGGCTAATTGTTGGAACCTACCAGCCTAGGACAAGAGGCCAAAGTCTGTTGACACCATAGAAGGATCAGGAGGCACAGCAGCAGAACAAGTTTAAGGATAAGCATCTATCTTGAGTTACAGGATCTGGTTTGGTTCCTTTAGATTCAGTTTACTTCCCATCAGATAAGATTTGTTCCCTTGCAGTTTATGTTGCAATAGAGCCTCATCTATATAACGACGCCAGGCATATGGGGTTGATTCAACATTAAACATTTTTCTCTACCCAAATACCCCCTATCTACAACGCGTGTATGCGCCTTTTCCCTCAGCGGCATAGGCCGCTCTCCCATCAACCATCCATCCATCCCTACTGCCATAGATCCAATCCTCCCTGGGAAAGCCCAACAGGCCATGATATTTTACCTAAATGTCTAATACAAATTATTCTGATTGGAAAAGTGGCAACCTTGCAGGTTTTCCGTAACTGTTCGATCAGTGAATGGGAAAATAAACAACTCTGGACTTAATGCCTTGCCAAGTAGTAATGTTTAAGGAACTTACAGGCGCCAATGGTACGTGAAAGCATGCCGTATCATTTGCTTCTTTCCAACTTGAAAGTGGAGGCTGATCCTTGTTTCACGAGTTATGATATCAAACTCTTCTTGCTCCCAGAAATACTGTATGCATAGTTGTATATAAGAAGAATTTTTTTAAATTTAATACGACGCCACAAGATTATGAAGTCATGCTAATAAAGATACTGCAGATTGCAGTTCATATCAACTTGCAGACTATACAAGGGTGGAAATTATATGATTGATAAGCGTAAAAGAGGCTCTGTCAACAAATACATTGGAGATATTACAATCTTTGTGTACTGAATCATCATACCCAAGCTAATTTCATCAAACAGATCAAGCGTATAGTTTATGAAATAAACTTAGTGTAACACATATATTTGCCATGCAACCCATAACAAATATAAATAACTGAATTGCGAGGTTTAAGCTGTCTTAAGTTTAGCTAACTACATGATGATGCACCAGTAAACCAAATAAAATATGTAGTGCCTCCGATACATAATAATTGTCGCTGCTTTAGTACAACTTTGTACTACCTCTGTTCACTTATATAAAACGTTTAAGCCTGTTCAGACAGTGCTCTAAACAGTTCAAAACCAGCTGTCTTAAACGCCTTATAAAAACGAACGGAGGGAGTATTAAAGTTGTACTAAAGCAGCGACAATTAATATGGATCGGAGGGAGTAGCTAAATTGCTCAGGTAGCATGATATTAAAATTCAACATCTTTCATGTCGCATACAACAACTGCCAAATATTTCTAATTTTATATATAATAATATTAGATTTGTTAGCATGCTGTAAATTCTTCTTACAAATACCGCATCATTTACCAATAAGAAATGCAACCTCGCCCTAAAATATACTAATCTTATGACAGTATGCCTAGTATGCTTCTAACTGGTACTTTAGAAGAAAGGCCACGATGTGCTGCAATGATTAAGCAATGCTATAACTCTACTCACAGTGAAGCTGGGGAATCTCCTCTGGAGACGAAGCTTGCATTCAGATGATGTGCCACCATATACATCCATTACAAATATACCACCTCTTTTAGAAAGTGCATTGAAGGCATGCCTGAAATACAGAACCAAGTCCTTTCTCTTGTGAAGGCAGCAACAACTGTAGTTGAATGCACAAATTATGTCTCTTCCAGGCAAAACTGCATCTGACATGGTCGAATTGGCTGCACATTTCGTAAATGAAGAATCTGACTGCTCGCAGCTGTTCATTTCAGTAGAGTCATCATCACTGGTAAAATTTAGACCTTGCACGAGATCACTGATCTTTTGCTTGACAAGGCGAGATTCATTTGGCTGCAGAACATTTCCATTAAAAAGCAACAATCTCGAATACCCATCAGCTCCAATCTTGCTCAGGTTGTTCTCAAGACACCACTCAAGTGACTCACGGTCAAAGTCTAAGCCCACTGCTGTTCGTCTCGTATCAGTGCGAAGCCACTCAGTACTGCCAACAGGAAAAAAGAAAGATTACGAGCAACTCATGCACTTATACTCTGAAGCTAAATAGTAACATCTCTGATGTTGAACACCACTGAATAGTGACCAAAGTACTCCAAAGAGTAAGCATTTCAGTATTACAGTTCCTAGTTATATGTGTCTCAAGTGCTCATCGTTTCGAGTTAATGGGACTCCTCAGATCCTCAGTAATAGATAAACAGTGCGGCCAAAGAGTTTGCGAAATTGACAGCAGGGTAGACTGTGCAAAGGCTATTCATATTGCTTAGTACTCCTATAACAGTGCACTGACCTGAGGAGGGCGGTGCCACAGAAATCCTCCTGCAGGTGGAGAGGGACGCGCCCGCCGACATACATCAGAAAGAACTTCTGCAGGTAGCTGATGTCCCCTTTTGGCGACTGAGCACAGAAGCACAACACCATGGTCATTTCGTCAAACAGGTTGTGAGCACGGAGACTTTCACAGGTCCAAGCTACGGTGGAAGCTAGCGAGGTTACCTGCACGGAGAGCTGGTACAGGTGGAACTTGGAAGGCATCGAGCCGACCTGCCACTGGCCCTGGAGGTCGCCTTCTTCCGCGCCTCCGTCGTGTTCGCCTTCCGCTGTTGCTTCGTCGGAATCGTCACCGTCCGAGTCCTCCTGGCGGCGCGGCGGCGCGTCGTAGGCAGACGAAGGCAAGTCGTCGTCGCCGAGCTGCGAGCCACGGCGGCCGCGGCCTTGCCGGTGCGACTCCTTCGTCTTCTTCCCGCTCTTACCCATGGTCGCCGGGTCGCGTGCGTAGCGGTGAGGGGTTTAGGGGTTTGGAACAGGAGAGATGAAAGTGCAGGGACTTGGTTGTCATTTTTTTCAGTCCAGGCATCTTGAGTTGGCAGACGCTGGACCTCCTTCCCTCTGCTTCCCTCTCTTTTGCTGCCCCTCTCCTAAGAGTTGTCCAAGGCTAACAAACTGTTCCAACGCCTCATCTGACAATGTTGCCGACTGGTGATGGCTAGGGAGAGGTACTCAGGTCCTCCTTGTGCAAATGGTAGTAGTAGTCCTAGTGGATCTTGGCTTTTATTTCGTGTTTTAGCGACATATTGTTGGGATGCCAATCGTCATCTTCTTCCTAGCCCCCATGATGGAGGGAAGCGAAAGGCACCGGATCTAGCAATATCCTCCTCAATATGCTCATATAAGTGATATCACAAGTGGTGGCGGTTTGTGAGATGTTGTTGTCTAGCAATAGAGGTGATGGCAGGGGGAGATGTGCCAGATCCAAGCGCTCCTTTTCTCGTTGTGCGTCGTATCTGTGTAACTGGCTGCGGCTTGGTCGGTCCCTGTATTGTAGGAAGATGTTCTTCGGCTCGCTTTGTTTTTTAGGATGATCTAAACGCAAGTGGTGTTGTTGGGACAAAATCTCATATTACCTCACGTGGTGGTAAATTTGATTTGCTTCGATGTGTTTGCTGATTTTTCTTTCTTCTTGGGCATAATGCCACATGGGAGGCACATTCTTCAAACATAGTTCATGGTGTGCAACCGTGGAAGTTTCGTCAGACCAAATGGTTGCATCTCGGTATCGACGAAGTTGGCCTTGCAAGGAGGTGCTTTGGACCTGATGTATCTTTATTTTGGATTTTTCTCTGTAACATCCCAAATTTTCAATTTGGAATGTTATACATTAGATCATCACTACATATCATATTTTATTTTGCATTTTGGTTGATCCTAGAAATTCTACGCAACTCAATGACCCACGGAGAGAGTTGGGGATTTCGTTATTTTCATATTTGAGTTTTTTCAAATTTTGAGAATAGGATCATTTGATTTTATTTATTTTATCATCAATTATTTCTACTACAAAAATATGAGAGAGGGAATAAAATGACTTTCCCAAAATAAAGAAATATTGAGGATTTAATAAAAAAAATCAAATAAGATTTTATTTCGGAGTTTTTCGGTGTTTTATTTGAATTTAGGAAAAATGTGCGTTTTTCAAAATTGCATTTAGGGCCCAAATAAATGTTCACCTTGTGCGGCTTGATTTTAGAAGCCCGTGAAAATTTATTTCAGAATTTTTGGAGTCCGTTTAGTATTTATTTTTATTTTTTTCTTCCGAGTGGAATAATTAAAAAAAACGAACCGACTTCGGGCCGTACCCGAGCGGGACACCGCCCGGGGGCAGCCTTTAAATAGCGCCGCCCCGAGACGCCCCAGCCCATCAGCCCTACCTCCCGTGCGCGCCTCCGGAGCCGCCGCCGCCGCAGCCGACGATCCCGCCGCCCGAGGTTCATCGCGCCTCGTTTTCTGTGCCAAAAAAAGAGGAAAAAAAGAGAGAGAGAAAATTCGGCGTTCGTCTTTTTCTTTTTCTCGGATTAAATCCGTGATTTTCCTGATCGCGATTCCTGATCCGATTTTCGTTTTAGTATAACTTTTCGCTTGTTTATCGGAACCAAGCGATTCAAGCGCCTATGGATGAGTACATATTGTATGCTTGTTTGTTTGTCTGCGATAGAATACCCGGAGTGCGCCGCCTGTTACTTCGAATCGTTAGGTTTTGCGGATCATCAGCAAGGCAAGTAACACTTTGATCATACTTTTTCTACTACCCAGTTTTATTGCATTAGATCAATCCTCACACATTGCATGATTAGGATCTAATTAAATTATGGGATGGGAAGTAGATGAGGTAGTACCTATTACCTGTTTATTTTCAAACCTTTGGGAGTTACTTCTACGTTTGCTTATTATGCCATGCTATGCTAGTAGACGTGGATTGGGTTAGTGATATCCATGACAGATGTGAGATTGTTAATTAATGGTTCATCTAAGGTGGCAACTTAAACACACATCTGGGTGGATTGAGGCACCTGAGTATTCTAGGACTTGCCTGTTTTCTTTTGGACCACCACCCAAACTCAAAGGGATCATGAGACTATTCATACTAGAAACTTCCGTGTTCAGCCACAAGCTATTATGGGCTCTAGCATAGTTGACTAAGTCGTGCGAACTCTTACAGTGGTAGACTAGCAGATGTAGGGGATGTAGGTGGTACGGTCTACCCGATCGTAAGGTGCTAGCGCTTGTGAAAGTCTATGTCTCGGTCATCCGTCTTCTCGAACACCATGTAGTGCGAGAAACCAAATGGAGGCGATCGAGTCTTGTGGGGAAAAGTGCGCAAACCTCTGCAGAGTGTAATAAACTAATCATGGTTAGTCGTGTCCCCGATTATGGACATCTTGAGTGTCTAGTACTTGGATTTTCATGTGACTCTCAACATGTTACTCTAAATTAATTTTGTTGGGTTATGTTTAATGATGATGCTTAATTGGGATTGAGAATGTTGTCAACCATTCTCAATGTTTAACAACCACCATGATAGTAATTAAATTTTATTCCTTTGAAGTAGGGAAAAATTGGCTTTACGCAAAACTATAACCATAGAGCTTTCCACCAGCCAAATATGCATATAGTATAGCTGTTTCATTCCTTTACTCTCTATGTGTTACCTTGCCAGCATATTCCATGTGCTGACCCGTTTCGGGCTGCAACGTTAATATTGCACACTTTTCAGACGACGATTAAGGAGTTTTTAGGTCGTGGTTCTATACTCAGTGATGCCGTTGGAGTTGATGGACTCACTTATCTTCCAAGCCTTCCGCTGTTATCGTTATTAGATGGTCTTAAGCCATACTTATTGTAATAAGTTCTCTTTTGAGACACTCGATGTAATAACTGTGTGATTGCTACTCTGCTATAAATCCTCCGAGTACTGTGTGGTGTCAGCATTACTGATCTAGGGATGATATCGAAACACAGAGATCAGACTGTTTGAGGTTTGGTCGCTACAGAGATGGTATCAGAGCACACGCTGGCTGTAGGACACGACCACTAAGCTAAAGACCTAGATCACTATTCACTCTCTTCTCTTCTGACCTCTCATCTTTTCTACTCTTTAGGATGGCGGATGCAAGGAACAAGTTCACACAACCGGATGAAGATACACCCTTTGGACGTCACTTGAAGGAAATCACTAGATACCTGAATATAGGAGTGCCAAGCTTCACGGGAACCTACAATGCCACTTTACCTGAAGAAGAGCGCTGGATGATTCAAGTTCAAGTTCCAGGAAGAACGTTCATGCCAGTCACTGAGCCCATAGAATTTTCTTTTGATGCACCAACTTGGAGTCTAGGAAAGAGCATGGCAGCTCACATCGCCATGGGACGCATTGGAGAAGTCTAGCACAAGGATCTCAAGGATACTATCTACCAGATTTGTGGGCGCCGAGATGAACACTGGGAGATGATCAGCACCGGGAAGGATAGATCAATCACAGCTTTTATTCAGGAGTTAAATCAGCACATTCGACGACAGGAGAACCAGATGTGCGCCGACATGATAAATCTGAAGAAGGCTAAGACTAGAATCAAGGAACTGGAGGAAGAACTCAAGGCTACACGTGAAGATTATGAAGAGGAAATTGAAATATTGGTGGAGAAGAATGACGACCTGATCAAGAAGATTGGAATATTTATGGGAGACCCTACGCCAGTAGATGAAGACGAAGAACCCCAGGAAATTAGCCCGGAAGACTACATCATCATCGACGGCACCGACTCGGAAGCAGATAGTAGCGATGATGACTATGTTGATGAAGCTGGAGCAGATATTATGGAGTCTGCAACCGAAGAATATTTCTAGTAGACCACCTCATCAGTAGTAGTAGTAGTCCACCATGTAAATATAGTAGTCCGAGCACTTTTGCGATAGGTAGATCGATTGTATGCCTTTGTTTGATTGATTGAAGTGAATTGTTTGTTTTGCCTCATGTGCATATGGGTAGTGTTTTCTCTTTAGACCCCCTCTATTCTTATATCTCATCTTTTCTAAACCCTCAGATCCTCCGAGACGTGACCCCGGATTTACCTTTCCACCGGAGCTCACCCAGTTGATCCAGCAGCAGAACACATTGATGCAGTTACTAGTCCAGAATCAGAATCAGGGGAACAATAACAACAATCCACCACCACCACCACCACCTGTTGACCACTTAGCCCGTTTTCTTAGGCTGAATCCGCCGGTGTTTTCCAGTAGCACCGAGCCGATAGTAGCAGATGTTTGGCTCCGCAAGACAGCTAGGGAGTTGACCACAACAGAATGCACAGATGCGGAGAAGATGAAGTTTGCCGCAGATCAGCTAGAAGGACCAGCAGCATCATGGTGGGAGATTTTCACAGCCACTTTCCCTGTAGACACTGTCACATGGAACCAGTTTCAGCAGGCTTTTCGTACTGCACATGTTTCAGCAGGAGCTATGGTCATGAAGAAGCATGAGTTTCGCAACTTGCGCCAAGGAGGACGGACAGTTGGCCAGTATGTGGAGGAATTTAGTAAACTAGCACGTTATGCCCCAGATGACGTCGCTACGGATGCAGCTAAGCAGGAGAAGTTTCTGGAAGGACTGAATGATGAGTTGAGCATGCAGTTGATGGTAGCAACCTTCAATAACTACCAAGAGTTGGTAGATCGTGCTCTTATAATTGAAGGGAAGCAGCAGAAAATTGAGAATCGCAAGAGAAAGTATGGACAAGGAAAGTACAATTCAGGAGCTCAGCAGAAGCCACGTTTTACCCCTAGACCGGGAGGACATTTTCAGCATACCCATGGAGGAGATAGCTCGCGCAATCACAATGGCACCAAGAATGGTAATGGCAATGGAGGAAGCAACGGCCAGAACCGCACCAACCCCTCAACCCCAGCCAAGAAGGACCTAAGCC